AACTCTTCTGAACCTCGGTTTATAATACCTTTTGCATTAGTAAGCATACGGCATCCCATAAAAGTCTTCTACGACCCTCAATATTTCTTCGCTGTTTGCTGTTGTATTTCTTTGTTTGTTTTTAATTTTGGTTATTTCTTCTCTTCCGCATCCACTTCTGTGCTAGATTTTCATGTTTTTCTTATTCTTTATGGTCTTTTCTATTTCGTTTCTGTTATAAGTTCTAATAGTTCTCTTGGCTTTAGACACTTGCTTGTTTATCTCCTTCATTATTGCGCTGCTGACCGATTCTTGACTTCTCATGTCCTTTGCTTCAATTGTCTGGTGGTGTGGCTCATTTTTTCCTGTTTTTTTTTGGGTTTCGACAATGTTTGTTTTGACTCTCTTTTAAAGCTGCAAGATTAATTAGGTTGTCTGTAATTTATTGGGTATCTATACCTTCTGATGTGTTCGTAACGCTTTTCTGAAACTTTGTTATATCTAGCGGACGCGTCCCATCAGTATTCAAAGAATGCCAGAGCACCGAATACCGTGGGAAGTGATGAACTGGCATCCAAATTGCTGAAGACGATCCAGAAGTCCGAGAAAGAGTTGGTATCGACTTATGACGGAACTTGGAGACAGAGAGCTTGACGACGATCTAGGGAACCATCGATGCAGGGGGAAAATGGAAATCGAATGACGTCGTAGAACGTTATAAACCGATATATAGATAGATTTGTGATTGAGTTGCATTTGGAACGGAGGCTACTGATTGTTTTTTCGTTTAAAAACTACTCTGTTTCGGTCAAATTTTCTTTCCTCAAATCTGGCAAGTATAAACATGTGTCCAATGCATACATATGTGTAAATGTAGCTTTCGATTCTAAAATAGAAGGTTCCTAGAAGGCGATATTAAAATCCACAAGGCGATACTAAAAAAGTGTTTATACAAAAATTTTCTTTGGCTCAAAAACAAAGCATTTTTTTAAAGTTTGTTCGAAGTTTGGAGAATAACTCTGAGTAAGACCCTTGCTTCAGCTGGTTTATTGAAAGTCATTATGTAGACCTGGTCTTTAAAACTTAATTATCCACACTCAATAAGTGAAATAAATGGGATTATTGAGGCTGGCAAAAAGGGGACCAATGTTTGACGCGAGAACTACTATTTGGCTTCCGAAACTTTCGGTAAACTCTTTATCGCATATAATGACTATTGATTTGCGCTTATTAGATTCAGGAGGTTATTTGCCTATTATGTTGGTCGAATGATAGTCGGCTTTTGTAATTATAAGTTGTTGGTATTGATGCAAAAGAGTTTTCTTCTCGAGGAATATTCCGACTTTTGAAGCAGTTGAACTAATTTAATCTCCCTTTACTTCAGCAGAAGCAGCGTCAAACTGATAGCAGAGTTCAGCAATCTGAGAGTAGATGAATTCGACTTTTGGAACCCGACAGCTTTAATGTGGACTTATTTTATATCAGATTTTACTAAAAACACATTTAAATCGTTTTAGGCATTTGAAATACTTGTTTGAGATTGAGATGAAAAAAAAATAATGCAGGTAATTTCTTTCGATTTATCAATTAATATTTTCAATGCGCGTAGCAGTTTCAATAACTTTCACTATTTTGTTACTACAACCAGCAGTCACACAGCGATCAATATTAACGATTTTTAGTTCCATTTTCCAATAAAAGTGCCTCAAGGAAATGAATAACTGTGTAATTTTGAAATCGAGGTTCAGGTTATATTATAATAGGAAATGCGTGTCATGAGCATGTGGTTAGAATCTCATAAAGGTGTCAAATAAAATAAAAGACTAACACCTGTTGCATCAACTAGGCCATCGTTCATCAATACTTTAGACAATATAATTTCATAAGAGTAAACCAGAGAGGTACGGGGCTAAATTTATGTTATAGGTAATCCAGTAACCTCGATTCTGCGGAAAACTGAAACACAGCGTGGGCAAACTAAATTATGACACCCCGGAGTTCACCAATATCGCCAAGGTTGAGTTAGAAATTTACTAATTTAGATGACTAATGTGGTTAATGTGCTACTTGTTGGTTTTAAGTGGTTTGAATATATGGATACAATTCATGATATTTAATAAATGTACGGTTTTCAAGTTGATATCGACCTAATATTAAATATCGTCGGGCTTTATTTGCATATGGGAAGGTTTAAAAATTAGAAATTGCACACTGCGAACAGGCCACAGCGATAATGTGTTCTGGTATATGTCGCAATTTTCGCTTTAAATACGAAAATTACAAGTAAAAAAAGATTCAGATTCAGATTTTGGGTTTGACGAGTCCCTGAAACAGCTCGTGTTAAGCAACAAAAACTTCCTGTGACATGAGAGAGCAGCCACAAAAAGCTTCTACAGGCATCAGATCATAAATTATATCGCTCTCGCTCTAAGGATTGTATTTGGACACACTTATATTTATGTACATACTGAACCATAATTAAAAGTTTTTATGTATTAATGTGCAGCATATCGAATAATTATATGCAAGTAACTTTAATCTTATTAATTTGTATTTCATTAACACACTTTGTCACTGAAAGCTTGAATGGGAAATATGCGATTTATAGATTTTAGAGTCACATACATCCATACAGGTTAAATGGTGTCGACTATAATTGTTCTTAAAAATTTCTGACTTTACTACCGATGGAATTACATTCTATAAATTGTACTAATGTATGCTAACGAATTCAACTCAATTGAAGCAATTCGAAAACTGTATCAGAGTGGCTAGGTTCAGTCAGTTTTAATATTATGCTAACAGGGCAAAATATTATACGGATCTCGAATGTTATATTAAATATTTTCCGTCTATGTCGTTCGATATGATTTTCAATCCTGTGTAAATTTTCCCAGCTGCTTTCAAGCGGCCTGTTCTCAAGGAGATTCGAGATTGATCATCTGGCAGCAACACCTCCATTTCACACCCTCGTATTCAATTATGAGTGTATTTTACATTTTATTTGAAATTCGCAAAGTTGTTTGCCTAACGTGCTCTACACTTTTCCTTTTATATCATTAAAATTCGCATTCTTCTTTTATACAATACGCCGAATATGTTCCTTTGCTTGTTCGCTACCCTTGCACAAGTTTTCCTCTGTCATCTGTTTAGAGCTGGGTGAAAATTAGCCGGGTTGCTTTGTTTTTGTATGCTTCGTCGCTTCAATGAAAAAGGCGCCGTTGATAATGTGTCCTAAAAGAAACCTGATTTGTCTGTTATAAGGCAATTTTGCAAAACGTATTTTCTTAATCTGATTAACATTTTCGCATTTTCTCTTTACGTCATTTTTTTTCAAGTCAAGAGGACTATCGCAGAAATTTTAAGCCATCCATTTTTCTCATTCCCATCGCGTCTCGGATATTATCTGCATAAAGTAAATGTTGCTTTTCATTGTATAAATTAAAAATATTTTTTAGTTTGAAAAGTTCTTTAAGAAATTATCAGCTAACAGTCATTATTTACATTTAAGTCGTTCTTAAGTTGTATTATTCTTCTCGAGAGAATTGACAAAAGTTGCCTTTTTAGAGTCACTTTAAGTAATCCCAAACATACAGCTAACTTTACTAATTGACTTCCAGGCCTCACAATTTCCCCTACAACTTTATTACTTTGCGATGTAACCTAACAAGTTCATGGTTTCTTCACTGATTGTTTACATATGTTATGCTAATGCTCTAATTCAAGCACGTTATGTGGAAGTCATTTTAACTTTGCTTTATAATGAAGTTAAGGCAAGTACCCGCCAGATATTTTACATTTATATTTACATACATATTTACAAGTTTACATTTTTTAAGATTTTCTGTTTCACTTTACATTGGTATTGGAAAAAATTCTAGAAAAGTTGACAATGTTATTAAGAGATACATTGTAGCAGTTGATTTTTATTATACTAATTGATGCATACTTGGTGGGGGGTAAGTGACTTTCCTCAAACGTTGGCTAGTTTATTTTAATTTGTGATATTTGTGGCAAATTTCGCAAATCCGGTGGAGTTGATTTCAATTCTGAAATTTACTGCAAACGCTTAAAACTCGATCTGACGCAGCAAAACAATGCAAATTGCCTTAAGAGTAAAACTGGCTGAAATTCGTAGAGGACTAATCTTATGCCTTATTCCGCACGCGTAATTGCAGGCTTTACCTCGATTTTGGCTACGAGTTATATAAATGATGAAATAGAGCAAAACTTTGTGACATTTCGCCTAATTAGCCAGCTGAAAAGGGTACTTTGTTTGCCGATGATGGCACCAGGATTTGTATCCTGTCAATTTGTTGAAGTCCTATTAGAGCTATAAATTTTAATTGCCATCGGTTCAAATACATTAACTTGGTAATATTAATTACTCAGAAAATGTACCTAATGTGCTTTGCCACCGTGCTTAGAAAAGTTTTTAAACGAAACACCTTGCAACGACTGCATCATAAATTATTCCCATCTTGCAGTATTTTATTAAATCGAACAACTCCTCTTAGATTTCGTAAATATATTTCACCCGAAATACATCTATCATATGTGTATCCATATCCTCTTATATAAGTTATCAGGAAAACTTGCTATAAAATTTATCAACTCTATGTCGCTTAAATATTCGACACAAATTTGCGCTGCTACTCAAGCCCCAATTCATCTTAATCATTTTATTGCTATTATTATAATATTCTCTGTTTTATTTAGCCCTTTTGGGAAAATAAAAGCTTAACTTAAATTGCCGCTGCGAACCTCTTTCGCTTTAGGGTCCAATAAATGCACTGGCGTAACTCGAATTTGCCCAAAATTTATGAAAACAGTGTCCCGAAAGATAATTATCTCTTCATATGATACGTAATTATTCAGCTAGATTATTAACATTGAATCGAACCCGCAATATCGATAATTAAATTGTTTTGTTCTTCATAAAATTGTGAATATAACTATATTTTGAAATTGTTGGAATATTGTAAAATTAATGTTTCTAATAAGAGCATTTTTAATTACAGCGCAGGAGTTGCCTAATTTGGAAGTGAAGACTTACGCTCGGGATAAATTGGGTGAGTTATTTTTTCTGCAGCATTCAAATCTAATTTTCTGGCCTCAAACAACAACTTGTTCGGTGCCATAAAAAGTTCGGTTCCATAATAGATCTTGCGAACTTTTTAGAATATCTTTGAAGAATGCATAGATATACTTTTTCTTTAAAATATACACTCGATGAAATTCCCGTGGATTTATGTCCAAACGTTAATTTGATCGTTTTCCATATAAATTTTCTTTAGAATAAGTATCATAAACCTGTCAAGTGTTGTATAAAACAGGCAATTTCTATAGCAATTATGAGCAATTCCGGCATTAGACAATACCATCTCATCGCCCCTGGACGCATTATAGAGTAATGGGACCAAACCGACGTAATTAAAAGGAATTCATTTTGGATGGAATCTGAACACACAAATTAAGCAATGTTCATTGAAATTAAGCCATTACAAGGCCGATTAAGCAAATTGAGCTTTTACAGAAAAAAGTGGTAGTCAATTAGACTGTAATGTTATTATGTTGGTTTGGCTGAATTCCATCGAGAAACTCATTCATTATTTGATTATGTACAGTGTGTCTTCAAAAAGTGTTCTAATAGTAGTGCGCGTATAAATCGAAATTCTTTCTGAAAATGTAGTTTGAGTATAAAAGCGCATATTAACGTAATTCTAGCTAAGTAATTACAGCAGGAAAAGGTCAGGCCCAAAAAGTTTTACACAGTTTTTAGAAAAATGATCAATTTCATAACTAGCAAGATTATGACACACGTTTCATTAGGAGCGCTGCGGCTAAACTTCCAACCATACGCAGCTGCTGGTAAAAATTAATTTTCTCCAAAAATGGCTAATCGGTCAATTTGATAATTCTTGAAACCAAATTTAGCGGCCTCAAAGATGGATGTTCTCGCTTAGATCGTAAATTAAATAGAATGGCGCACCAGCAAGCCAGCAATGATGCCGAAAGGTTTTGCTACACAAATAACGCTTGTGTAGGTCTTAACCGGTGCTTCTTGGTTTATGTTAATATAAGGACGGGAAAATTGCATTTTCACGAAATACCAAAACTAAGGAAATAAGCCGGGCTTGTGGGGAAATCGTACCGACATTTTCCGGCTAAAAGTTTTACATTAACGGTTTGAAAAGTTTTGTGCTGCTTTCCAAGAAAATCTTACTATATTGGTTTAAGGGGAAATCTACTAGAAAAATGGGTGGCGTTTCTTAAATGCAATTGGATCTCAGAGTCAGTATTTTGTGGAAGTTGTAATTTTCAATTTTCATAACTGAAACTCTCTGGCATTTCGCTAAAATTTTTCAAATGCTTGGATTGAATCAGCCTGGATGCGTAGAATTAATTAATTAATTTTTGTTTATATAGGTATGTTTCTACTTAATGCTAATTTAATTAGCAATTGCGGGGGGTAAAAACGAGCATAAGACATATTTTGAACAAAACTGCTTACATATTTTCTCATTTGACAACTACATTCAATTAATTCAAACGCGTAGTTGTATGGAGCACGATTAGTCTCTAGCTCATTTATCTCTGTTTAGGTAATACTTTTACCACTTGATAATGGAATATCAGCCAATTATGGATCTTTTATCATTTCCGTCTGCTTTGAGCTCGCCTAATCAGCTTACGCTTTTTGAAATGATTCCAAGGCAACTTTTTGTGCAACATCACTAATAGCGAGCGGTTATATTTTGGATCAGACGAGTTTTTCTGTTTGATGTTTGTCCAATTCAAATCATGCTTTTCATTTTACGCATAGGCTCAAGTTACTCATGCAATTGTATACTTTATCATATTTCATCAAGATTGCTATGCGACCCTCCAGCTGCGGCTGTATTATATTCAATGGGATTCAAAATGTTGGGACATTTAGGGGACCTAGGCAAGTTGTTATAATGTAGGTTATAATTTAATGAAGTACGTATTCTGCTAACATTGACCAATTTCTCTGTATGAGTCGAAGCGGGACCGACTAATGTGGAAAGCAGCTAAGGAATTTCCACTGTTTGACTGGAATTCGATTTTCGACTCTAAGGCTGCGTTATGCCGAATTCCTAATCGTACAACGATTAAAGTGAATTGGAACTAGTTTGATTTTGAATTAGAAATTCCATATTGGAATTAAGTCGTTAATAAATAGAGAGAATTGTGGTTTTTTCATTCACCGTATGCGTTTTATTGGCGTAATTAATAGGAGCATACAGTTTGGATTTCTTCCGATTTTCGACATTAGTAATTGGATTCCAAGCTACTTTGAATTTATCGTTGATAACTCGCTGGATTCACAGAGTAGTTAATTGCCAAGCCTTTCAAATACAGACGAATAAGATCCCAATGGTCATTTCTTCTGTTTTGCCTTTGATTTTACAATATTAATGCCTTGTTTCAAAAAAGCTATTTGTGTGTTACTTTCGAAGTTCACTAAAAGTTTTTAAAGGCATGTTAACAATGTTTTGTTCTAGGCCAGTCAATTCAGGCCAGTAACTTATTTGATGTTTTGTCAAAGGAAGCCAATATAGTTCTAGTTTGATAGATAAGCTATCTATCGGTAGAAAAAGTAATTGACATTCCTGTGGTGCGCTTACTTACTTACTGAACTTTGATGTAAATTTTACATCGGATTTTAATTATTAGTTGCTGTTTCGCTACTACAATGGAAATTTTCGTAACCAGTATTGACCTACGCTATACAATGAAAATTTTCGCGCCCGTTTGAAGTATCGGTCGAAAAGTTTCCCGGGTTTACAAGCCTTGGATAATCGGAATTGCTTCCTGGCGTTTCGCTCACATTTGCAGTAACCATTATCAAGCGCGATGAGGTAAAGGGTGATTGATACGCAATAAGGTAACAGGTCACTCATGTACAGCTCATATTTGCCAACCGTTGCAGAAATTATCAAATATATGTTGAAAGGTCACACATTTCATACTGTCTCAAAGTTTGATACATAAATTTGACATTTTTCTGGGATACAACCTTGCAACACTTTAAAAAAACTTATACCGTATGTACAGATTTAACAAATATAATTCAGTTTTCAAATGCTATGAATGACAACACATTTGCATCTAGTTGAATAATCTCAACTCTGGACTCAACTTTTGATATTTTTCTTTTGCACATTTAACATATATTCTGTTGCTATTATATTTCCTTATATTTTAATTTTATTGTCAGAGCTTCTCCTCATTTCCGTTTTACCCAAATAAAATATTTTGTTGTGGATGTTTATTAACATTTTTGTGTCTGTTTTAACATGCTGTTCTAGAAATTTAGAGAAAAATTTAATCGATGTGCGCATTCAAAGAAACATCCAGGAAAGTTAAGTTAAAACAAGATCGGAGAGTGACGGAATTAGAATAAGTTTTGCGTAGCGGAAAGTATCGCAATTTTTCTAAGGACGCAGCGGTATTAGTATCTGGTTCCCAGTACTGGCGCAGCAAAATGCCCGTCTACAGTACTGCTTCAAGGCGTTAACCAGATAACTTTGGTCGCTACCCATCGCTTCCGACAATGTCTAGCGCAGATGTGAGCGAAACGTGAGGAAGCACTTCCAATTATCCACAGCTACTACGCTGGGAAATTTTCCAAACCCAATAATTTTTTAACTTAAACCTGATATTTTTAGTAAATTCATTCGAGTCAATCGTCAGACTTGCATGGACACGAGTGTATAATTTTCCTTTTGAATCAGGTCTCTGCTAATTCACCATGAAAAATAGCAAATGTATGTGCGCTTTGCTCCTAAGGTAACCTGCAGCATAACAATTTACGGAGACTACTTTTGAACTGCTGTGTGTAGGACGCTTTAGGCGTAAACTTTACTTGCAGCTTTTAATCTAAAACAACATGGAGCTTATTGAGGTTTGTAGTTAGCAGATTTTTTAATAAAATAATATCAGTTTCTGGAATAAAATCGGTTTCCATTTAGTGGAGCAGCTAAGCAACTGATTTAGGCCAAGTGACCAACAGGACACTGTCTTGTGAATGCGCTCCCCTCTACTCCTGTCAGGACTTTCCATAGTCCTTCGTCCAACGCAAGCCGGCAGTTGAACGAAGCCTGCAGGACTCGAGCGGCAATCCTGCTGCAAATCCTTTTGCGTTCCCGGCGCGAAAACACGTGTTTATTCCGGCGCGTTTCTATCAAATAGCCCTCGACAGTGTCCTTAAATCTCGTCAATTTTCCGCACGTTTAAAAAATATTTATTGAGGTGAGTTCATCCTCTTTGCTGATAAATGAGTACCTGTAGTTTGGTTTTTGAGCGCCCATGCTGATTGTGCACTTACGAAAGTGGTCGAGACAAAAAAAACGAAAATCAATCAAAACTTTTTAAGCCCTGGTTACCGCATGTTATTGGAAGTGCTTCGAAGTTTTAGGAGGTGGATTTTTCAACAACTTCTTCTGTTTCTATGTATATTTTTGAATTACGAACTGGTGTGTGATAGATGGTACTTGCGGATACTCGTAAATAGGTTTTCGCTCTTCGTAAAATTACTTATAGGTATGAAAGAGTGAGAAATCTGGAAAAAATTTAGAGAAATGGACTTTTTAAACTTTCATTTTTTCATTGAACCGAAGCATGTTTGACTTGCATCTGACCTAATTAATTCTCTCTCAGGCTTAAGCAATGATTTATTTCGAGTGCCTGCAAAATGTGGCCTATTTATGGGTTGACAAACTACTAGAAGGCAACAAAATGGCTGGAGCTAATTTATCATAAAAGGTTAATTTTCGTAATATCTGAAGAGCTTCAAGTAGACGAAATTTGCTGGTTAATAATCTATGAAATGTAATTTGTATAAATTCCTTAATCACAAATAATGACTTAATTTTCCTTTTGCATGAAGGATCTGACGATTAGTTATTCATATTTTCATATACTGCCAGAAAATGATAACCGCATTTCAATCCGCAGCAAAAAAATGTGAATAATTTCAGTTTCAGCTATGGGACATTTTCTGGGAAAAAACTTCTGAATGAGAAAAGCTCGGCACGATAGCGAT